CCATCTTTGGAAACTCTTATTTATATATACATACACACATACATACATACATACATATATACACATATACATATATGTACATACATACATATATGTCTGTGTTTTTAATACGTTTTTAAATGAAACTTAAAATTTCCACTAAAATACAAAATCCACTGCCATTAAGTTAATTTTAGTTTACAGTCCTCTTATAGGAGAGAGTAGAACTTCTTCCAAGAGGTTTCCAAGGCTGCAAATCTTTATGCAGATTGGCACTCTCTCTGTGGGTTACAACTGCAGACCATTAAACATTGCACCACAAGGGTTCCTACTGAAATCCACATCAGTTTTATTTTGCTATGATAAGATTTGTTTAAAATAGCAACATACAATGATATGCATCTGCCTTGTTGAGTCCATTTTCATGATCCTTTGCAGGAATATTACATAGTCGATATTGTGCTTAATTTATTAAACCATACTAACATTATCAATTTAATTTTAAAATATTATGTGAAGAGAATAGTTTCATTTAAGACAGCATGAAAATTTAAACTCATCTCTTTGCACGAATAGTGCTTTATTTTTGAAACCTATCATTAAAATGTCAAACTCAACTGGTTACCATCAAGTTGACTCCAGCCTGTGTCAACACTGTGTGTGACAGAATAGAATTGTGCTCTGTGGAGACTTCAGTGGTTCACGTTTTGAAAGTACTAGAAGAATCTGAATTACAAATTAGCTCTGTTCCCAAATCTGTCTTTATCTTAAATTTGGGTATGAGTGAGAACAGTGAAATACCATTCAAACATTTGTATTAGCACGCAGTGTATGACATTCCTTTTCATACATTAAAAATATGTTAAACACACAATTCTAGATACACTCCAGTATCTTTAACATAGGAATAAGAATAGCTTTCTTTATGCATGTTCCAAAGTAATGCCCATTTTTAATTCTAAAATATATTGTATGTACTTCACATTTTTTAATAAAAAGTTTTATAAGAGTTGATTGTCACAGGACTTTGAACAGATTCTTCCCATTCAGTTTCGGTCAAAGAAGCAAAAACAGAATACACTTAAATGTTTTAAACATACCTGTACTGGGACAGTCAATAGAATAGTAAAAGCACGGCAAGAAGTCCTGCCAGACACAGAATCTTCCTCTAAGAAAGGAGGACAGCATATGTGCTGTATCACAACCAAAACTCTTGCCCATCAGATTTTGAGCACTTGGAAACTACAGCCCAAAGATGCTTTCAGGAATGCACAGCTTGAAAAGTGTGTTGCTCTTCACAATCCTGCCAGTAATCTGATTTCATGTATCAGGCTCCTGAAAAGACTCCTCTGACTGCAATTTTCTCCATTCAGGTCATGATTTCAAATCACCAAAATCTTAAAGATGTAGGTCTGTTTGGCTTTTGCTTTATTAGCCATGAATAAATTGGTTTGAACTCATTAACATGAGCTGTATGTAAGTCAGATACTTATACCCCCTAATTCCTGTAGTTTACCAGGCTTTCCAAGTATCTCCATGTGGACACAAACCTTCAATCTTCTGTTCAGCAGCAGACTGATTTAACCATCTGCACCAAGCAGGACAGCCAAGCCTCTTTATAGGTCATTTTCAAGGGAGATTGAAAATTTAAAATCTGTGGCTAAAAGAAATATTTCATAGGAAAATGAAGTGTGTTCTAATTTAATGCATCACTTTTAAAGTACAGATTACCTTGATCCACATAGAATGCTCCAGTAAGAAGGATCCTGTAGGTTAAGCACCCATTAGGGGCAAAAGGTGCATCCCACTTCACCTGGGCTTCTTGAGATCCCTTTGTTTTGACAAATACATTTACTGTTCCTTCAGGAGGGGCTTCTAGTGTGTGATTTTCCACCTGTGAATATATAAAGATGTATTTTTGTTTGCAAATACAGTAAGTACATGCTGCACTTTGTGCATATTTCTTCAAAGAATCTCTCGTTGCTGTGAAGTAAACTATTTTGACAGCAGCATCTTGTATAGTTACCTCATTTTGTCAGCAGGATCAAAGCATACCTCATGTTTTCTTCCTCCTGCTGTTAAGCTTAAAATTTGAGCTCCTGACCAAGGCAGTTGTTTGTGATTTCCAGAAAATGTGGATCAGCTCACACTGTGATTGTCCTTATGGCTAGGAATATCCATAGACTACTTCTAGGACTGCTTAACAGTATTTTTTTTTCCTCTTCAGTTGCAATAGGGAAGGAATACATCAAGTCTTATTTAGAAGTCTCTGTCTGATGTGAAAGACTTTTGGGCTTTGTTAAAAGGCCACTCCAAGCATCTCGAGATGCACACACATGAAAATAGCTTTCTCAGTTATTTGCTTGAGGTATAGAAAGACGGCACCATGCCAGACATCAAGAAATAAATACACCTGTGCTGTTTCATCACATTTGAAGCAGGAGTTGCACCCAATTCCTAAACAACATGCCTCTGGAAATTCTATGAACTTTGAGAAACAATAGTTACAGAAAGGCTTCAGGTCTTTTGTTCATAGGGTCACTTTGAGTCATGCTGAACTCCATAGCAATCAACAACAACAACAATTTCATCACAAGGTGAAATAAGAATCATGATTACATAATAATAACAATGATTAATTGATGAGCTTCACTAACAGAGTCTTAATAAGCCTGTGGATAAGACAGCAAAAGGATTTTAAGAAAAGTACTCTGAAATAAAGTGCATTTAGTAGTTGTACGTTAGCCACAGAGTTTTTGAGAGTTAAGTAAGTAAAACAGCTAACTGACTAGAAGTAGTTGGCAAGAAAGCAGAAGGGCTTCAAGATAGTTTACTATATTTTAATCATTAATTAAACTTCCTTAATTTGCTAACACACACTCCTCAGAATCATTTAGAGGCATTTGACCTTTTAAAATTTATTAAATATATGAATAAGTTTGACCTTGTTCTTAAAGTACAGACTTTTAAAAAAATATTTGCCTCATAAGCAGATGGTCAGAGAGAAGTCCTCACATAGGCAAATATTCTCAATTATTAAACCTTTATTTGTTACGGTGAATAACACTTTCTCAATTATGAAAAGAAATATAAAAAATATAGAGTGTTAATTTTTAATAAGTATGAGGTTATGACATGGTTTATTTTAACCTCAGAAAGGATACAGGGATCTTAGATCTACAACTTTTCTTTTAAATCCAATAGTCATGTACAAAAGACAGTAAAATTTGACTGGAAAAAATTTCTTATTTTTCTATTTTTTAACCATGAAATTTGTTTCATTATGCATGTAGGTCAAATGAGTTTATAAAAAGTTGTTGTTGTTACGTGCCATCGAGTCGTTTGTGACTCATAGCGACCCTATGTACAACAGCCCTAAACCCTGCTCTATACTGTGCCAATCTCATTGCCTCTGACACATCCATCCCAATTACCCCAGTCACTGAATCAATCCACCTCATAGAGGGTCTTCCCCTCCTGCGCTGTCCCTCTACTCTTCTACCCAGCATGATGTCCCTCTCTAAAGACCTGTCTCTCCTTACAACATGTCCAAAGTATGTCAGACGAAGCCCCAGAATCCTTGCCTCCAAGGAGCAGCCTTTAATAATTTCCAAAGACAATGGGACTAAAAAAAGCTGAAATAAAGATTTGAAAGTAATCTCAGATAAATACCCTCTATGAGATAGATTGATTCAGTGATGGGGTAATCGGGGTAGGTGCGTCAGAGACAGTGAGATTGGCACAGGACAGAGCAGGGTTCAGGGCTGTTATACACAAGGTTATTGAGTCGCAAGCAACTCTATGACACATAACAACAAACAACAACATATTATTTTCAAGGATATGTTGATGCAAAAATATATATATTGTTTTATTTAAGTATTTGGAGAAACATTCCATTTTTTTGTTAATGATGCCTTTGATTAATATAGGAATAAAATAGTCTTTGACTAATATATGAAAAGGTATTATTGTTTCAAACTCGGACAACCAGGAATAGAGTTTGCCTAATCATAGTGTTTTCCTCATTAAGCACTGTGGTCAAGATCCATTCATGTTCTTCTTTTATTTATTATTCTACTTTTATTATATGCTGTTGAGTTGGAACTAACTCATAGATGACTCATATATGGCCCTCCAGTGGGTTTTCAGAGGCTAGAAATTGCACAGTAGAAGACTCCTTATCATTCTCTTGAGAAGCAGCTAGTTGATTTGAACCATATGCCTTTGAGTTTACAGTGCAGCACTTTATCCACTTGCCCACTAGAGCTGTCTTATTTACATTACAGATTTTTAAAACTTTTAAATTATAAAACTAAACTCATATTTACTAAAGAATAATGCTAAGGAAAAGATCCTGTGAAGGCTCTTGTTTGTTTTACCTGAAAACCTCCCTTGATACAGATAAAACATATGTGAGAACAAATGTACAATTTGTTCAGTCTCATGAAATTTTCAGCCTTAATATAATACTGAGTGCCAGAGACCCCTTCATAAATAATAATTCATTTAATTTATCACATCAACCTTTATTGTAGGAATCGGGGGTTTTTTATATAATAATTGAGAAAATAGGTTAGCAATATCATATTTTTTTTCAGCAAACTGAATTTTATTCTGTGGTATTTTAAATATCATATTTTTAAAGAAGCATGGGGGTAATAGCAGGCTTTGGGCAGATTTTCCATAATAGTTTTCTTTACCATCCAGAGAACTGAAGAACACTGATATCAGTCTGCAGACTAAGGTGTGCCTAATTCAGGGCATGGTCTTCACAATTACTTGCTATGTGTCAGAAAGCTGCACAATGACTAGGCATGATAGAAGGAGAATTGATGCCTTTAAGCTGTAGTGCTGGAGAAGAGTACTGAATATACCATGGACTGCTAGGGGAACAAACAAGTTTATCCTGGAGAGGCTGAAGCCAGGCTGCTCCTTGGAAGAAAGGATTCTGAAGCTTCATCTGACATGCTTTGGGCATGTTGCAAGAGAAACCAATCCTTGGAGAGGGACATCATGCCTGGGAGATTAGAGGGAAATGGAAAGAGAGGAAGACCCTGGATGAGATGGATTGATTTAGTGACTGTGTTAACGTAATGGGGTAGGTGTGTCAGAGACAATAGACTGGCTCAGGATGGAGCAAGGTTCAGAGTTGTTGTATATAGGGTCACAATGAGTAGCAAGTGACTCAATGGCATGTAACAACAAAAATATACCTCGCCATTAAAGAAAGAAAAAAAAAAGCCAAGACAAGAATACTCATTGCCATCAAGTCAGAACCAACTCATAGCATACCATTTACAGGGTTTTCAGAGAATGCAATCATGTGAGGAGACTGACCACTTTTTTCCTGCAAAAGTCCTACATGCCTTTGAGTTGGCAGCACAACTTATCAACTAGGCTATTAAGACTGAGTTGTTTTAAAATAACAAATGTTTCCGTGTAAACAAAAGCCGCATGAGGCTATGAGAGGACATGTGCATACTTAACTGCCTACATGCAACATTATCAAGAAACAAAGACATCATTTTTTACCTTATCTCACAGTAGTAACCTATAGTTTTCCAACTTATCCGTAGACAACCTTGGAGAATTAGATCCAATGAATTTCATAAAAATCACCATTCTTGGACTCTGCCAGTGTTTTTTAACACTAAATGAGAAAAGAAGCATGGTGCTTATGTAATCAAAGGAAAAAAGAAGAGGAAAATTTTAGCAAAATATATCTTTGGAAAAACGTAAATGCATAAAGAAATGACATTCTTTTTACTATGAGCTTTCGTGGCCTAGTGGATAAGGAGTTGTACTGCGAACCTGAAGATAGACAGGTTCAAATCCACTTGCTGTTCCTTGGAAAAAACATAAGCAATATCCTCCCATCTTGTTTATAACCCTAGTATATAAACTCATAGTTTATAACTATGAGTCAGTTTTGACTCGACAGCAGTGGAAGAGATAGAATAGACATGGGGGAGAAAATAAGTAGTGATTTATTTATGGACAAATCCAGTGTTTCATTATGGAAACAATAGTGTTGAGTCTCACATAAATAAAATTGAGGACTAAATTTAAAAAATTTCAAAGTTCTTTTCTGCTGCATTCTATAGCAATACATTTCATTAATTAAAACATTTACAACTCAATTAGCAGAGGTAACTTGACAATCCATATTGTTGTTAGGAGTCATCTGCATGACTGCAACTCATAGTGATCCTATGAGCTATTTAATCAAACCTATGAGGTGCCGAGTAATCTTAACCTTCGTTTCAAAGGGTATTTGAAATTTGTTATTGGAATTTCTTCAGAAGTAAAAAAATAGTTTTAAAAAATATAAAGAAATTAAGACAGAGTAATACTTTCTGAATTACAAAAAAGTAACAATATTTAATTATTATTCATAATAAAACAAACCTATTTTTATAAGTTTATTTTATAATCACAGGGGAATATAGGCAATCTCCTTTCATGACATTAACTATCTCTGAAAACCTGCTGGTCGCTTCTGACTTGACAGTATGTAACAATTAAAATATTTTATTAGAAACTATTTTATTATAAAACATTCTAATTCCTAAAATGACATTAAACTGTCAAGAATATGTAATTTGTGTATCTATTTGTATTTTTCAATACAATATGTTTTTCTAAATTTTCCAATTTTTCCAATTTTTTCCCTCGATTACATGAACAACATGCTAATTGTGAGGGCAATCTATACCACAAGAAAGAGTATATAGGGTGTGTATACAAGTTCTATAGTTTCTCTATCACTCATTCCTAAAATAAAGTATGTGACACAATCCTGCTTGCTGAAACTGAGGAGGGCCTGAAATGCTTGCTGCAGAGGGTCAAGGACTGCAGCCTCCTATATGGAGTGAAGCTCAAAATCAAGAAAACAAAGACTCTCACCACTGGGGCAATTGACAGCATCATAATTGATGGTGAAGGGACTGAAATTGTTAACAGTTTTCGTTTACTTGGCTCCACAATCAATAATCTAGGTACCAGCAACCAGGAAATCAAGAGATGAGTTGCATTGGGAAAGCCAGCTCTCAGGGAGCTCTCCAGAGTACTGAAGAGAAATGATGTCAGGCTGGAGTCTAAGGTGCACCTGATAGGCCATAGTCTTCACAATTGCATATTATGTGTCAGAGAGCTGGACAATAACTAGGTATGATAGAAAGAGAATTGATGCCTTTGAGCTGTGATGCTGGAGAAGAGTGTTGACTATACCAAGGGCTGCCAGGAAAAAAAACATTTTTGTCCTGAAGAGAGTGAAATCAGGCTGCTCCTTGGAAACAAGGATCTGAGGTTTCATCTGACATACTTTGGGCATGTTGCAAGGGGGACTAGTCCTTGAAGAGGGACATCATGTTTGGGAGGGTGGAAGGACAGCACAGGAGAGGAAGACCCTCGATGAGATGGACCGATTCAGTGATTGGGGTAATGAGAGTAGATGTGTTAGAGACAGTGAGGTTGGCACAGGACAGAGGAGGGTTTAGGGCTCTTGTACACAGGGTTGCTATGAGTCACAAAAGACTAGAAGGCACGTAACAACACAACAATTCAAAGTTGAACAAAATATCCTTTCAATAATGTTATGTTTTCTTCATGCTACAGTTGAAAGTCTACAAATAAAATTAAAGCTCTATTTTCCCTGAAACATATTGAATATTTTCCTGCATGGATAAATAATGGTCTTATTAAACAGGTAAGAATTTAAAAACAAAATTAATAGACTTTTCTGTATAAAAAACAAAAATTATTATTGATTAATCTTCTAGGAATCTCTCAAAATGATTCAAAAATGTAATTTTTATCTCTGCTAGCAAAAAATAATGTGTGTGCATGTACACCCACATACACATTTCAATTTAATGAAAAGTATATTGTAACATTAGGTTTTACAGACATATGCCTATAAGAAATATGAGTACAGTAGTGCTGTATTTGGCTGCGTTTTGTTTAATAACACATATAACTTAATGTAAGGAAATTTGAAATTAGTTCACAGATTTCTTAAATCAATAAATGTATCTTCTAAAAAAAATCACACACCGATTCAAAAAGCTGTAACTGTAATGTGATTTTGATAGATATGTAGGCCATTTAGTATACTTAGATACATAATCTTTTGGGGACATAAAACTTACTGTAATTGGGACCAAATTATTTCAGAAACCAAATGAAGGCCATGGGTTTTAACTTCTTGGCAGCATATCGTTGACTTGCTCTAAATAAAGACATTGTTGTTCAATCCCAGTGATTAGAGATGGATCATTGACTTGAGAAAAGCGTTTGCATACTGAGTGCAGGATAAAGAAAGGCACAGAGGGGAGAAAATAACTCTGTGTTTGCAGTCAGGATGGAGTACTGTCCTGACTGTGGCTGTGGCAGAGCCGGCTTTACAATCTAATTCTGTTTCTCCCTTCCCATCAGGGAACCAGAACCACAGCATTTGATTTCCTAAGGTCAGTGTTACCTACTACTGTGCAGGACACAGTTTGTAAATACTCATCATTGTTCAGAAATATGAAAATATTGGAGGAACGGTAAAGCCAATTTAGTAGCCAGAATCACAACTTACAGTTTATATTTTTGAATGAAGAGAAAATATAACTTTCAAATCCATGTGAAAGATTTCTCTCTCTCTCTCTTTTTTTTCTGAATGGGGAAGAGCTGGCCTAAAGCCATTCTTGCTTTTAAGAGTAAGTATGCATCAGAGGGGTCCTGCTATAAAATGCTTAATGGCAATAAAGACTACAGCTCAGCCCCACTGATGGATGGTGTTAACAGCTTGAAAAGCAACCAATCTATGAAATGAAATGGGAGGTGTGATCAACAATAAGGAAGTCAAAATCACAAATTAGAGCTGTTTTTCTAGACAATTTTTCTAAAATACATCCTTCAATGAAGCTAGAGTACACTAAAATGGTAAAGCATCATCAGCAAATATTAACAACAAAAAAAATTTAAAAAAACCAACCCTAGAAATGAGTATTTAAAAGAAGCTATATCCATTTGACCAAGAAAAAAAAGTGAAAAGTGACATTTAGGAAGGGAATAACATTATGCTAGACTAGGACAATTATGTCGTGTTAATTGAGTTAAATTTTATTAAATATGAAAAGCACAATTCCAGAAGTATTTTAAGTGCTAAGGAATTTATAGGCATAAATTAGATTTCTGAAATTGGCTATCAAAGCTGATATCAATAAACTGTTAAATACTCTTCTTATCAAGCTATATTAGCCAAATGAAAACATTTCTGTCTATGTGCCTGGTGGCCTAGTGACAAAAAGCTGCATTGCAACTCCAAAGGCATGCAGTTCGAATCCACCAGCTGCTCTGTGCGTGACTAACACACCAGAGGGTCTGCTGTGTTGGTTCTGACTCACTGGTATACACCACCACCATTGTTGTACTGTTGTTATATAACATCTTGTCAATTATAGCTCAAAGGCTCAAAGTACAACCGAGCAAAATAATCCCTGATCCTGTGCTATCCTCAAAAATGTTGCTAGTTTGATTATATTGTTGCAGCAGTGTGTCAATCCACAAAATTGAGGGTCTTCCTCTTTTTAACTGATATTCTGGGTACCAAGTCTGATGTCTTCTCCAGGGTCTATCATCATACATGTGCAAAGTGTGTGAGCGGCAGTTACTCCATTCTCCTTCAAAGGAACATTCTGGAAATACTTCTTCCAACACCAGTGCTTTTATTCTTCTGACAGTGTGTAGTATCATCAGTATTCTTCTCCAATGCCATAATTCAAAGGCATAAATTCTTCCTCATTCTTCTTTATTCATTGTCTAGGTTTCTTACATATATGGTTGTTGCAAATACCATGCTTTGGGTTAGGCACACCTCTGTGCCCAAGTGACATTTTTGCTATTTATCTCTTTAAAGAGATCTACTACATGAAATAAACTCTACACTTAATCAATTAAATGACTCTTTAAGCAGTGTTGCCTTCCTGTGACATGTATGGATTTACTTACAAGCTTACATTAGCTGTTGAATGAAGGAAACAGGCTCTTTAAATATTTCCCTAAATTGGCCAAAATGGTACCTATGCTTACCAAACCTGACAATTTACTATTCGGTCAGTAGAATGTATATTCTATCCTTCACTTGACCAATGCACAGACTTGAAATTTATGTTGAATATAAAATCTTAGTAACTCTTAAGAGAAATTTTATAAAAATTTTATCTCCCATTCTGTTTAAAAGGCTGTCTGTGCTCAATGTGATTCACCACCATGTACTCTTTCCTGGATATTCATTGTCATCTGACATTTACCATTCCCCTGGAATATAAGTCCACATACTCACCAGAGGGCCCAGCGCACAACCTTTGGCTGTGCATGCCTGGACTTGGAAGGAGTGCAAGCTCCAAGGAGCAAATCCACGAGAATGACAGCTTCGTATTGAAGAATTGTGAATTAAGACACCATCCAGATATAATCCATAACTTGTTATAACACCTGGGAAGATAATAATTTGCTGTTAGTGTGACTAATACATAATAGCAGAGAATATCTTAAGGAAGTAAGTGCTTCTTAAAGTCATTCCTAGTTTCATTAAATCACTGAGTCATTCCATCTGGTATTTATTTCACCTACACAAAGCTCAGGGTTTTTTTCTGAAGGCTAAAAGATGCTTGAAACCTTTGACTATCAAATTGTTATGGTAATTAGTAACAGAGACAGAAACAGAACCAAAGAATTCCAGCAGAGGAGTCTTTCAATTGCACCATGAGAGCAGTAGTAATTTGTGTTCCAGATCAGAAATGTCAAAAATGAATACATTAAATACATTCACAATATTTATTGCTTTATAAAAAGATTCCCTCAATAGAAGTGCTTCAAAAGTAAAATGACCTTATTTGCTAATGCATTATATATTACTCATGATGTATTACTCACTGTTCTAAGTAGCTGACATGTATTAACTCATTTAACCCTCTCCTCACAAAAATTCTGTAATGGAGACAGTATTATTATCACCATTTTATAGATGAGGAAAATGAGCCACAGAGAGATTGAATACCTTTCTCAAGGTCACAAAGGGAGCAGGAGTTGAGTTAGGATTTGAATCTAGGTGATCTGGCTTCAGAGTCCAAGTTTCTCAACTACAACATTAAATTGCCTCCACACTATCTTGAGCTAATTGTACACAATGTTCTTATACCATTCATGAAGTTATACAAACTGTAATGTATTGATCTTAATGATGAATTAAAATTGACTTCAGAGGGAACATTATGTGTATTTTCATGAATCACCTAGTAGGGGCATGATAAATTTAAATGGTTATTGAATATACTAATTTTTCATTATTCAAACAAAATATTTTTCCAAATATTTTTCTATTCTGTTGTTCTTATTTAAAATATACACAACAAAACACCTACTGTTTCTATATATATAATTCATTGACATTACATTCTTTGATTTTTGCAATTATTTCACTTCCCTCATGGGATTTCAACTAGATGGACTGATAAAGTGATGATAGCAATGGCTCAAGGGTGTCAGAGGTGGTGAGGATGGCACAGGATAGGACAGGGTTCAGATCTGTTGTTCATAGGGTTGCTAGGAGTCTTACTCCACTTGACGGCACCTAACAACTACATAGGATCTGATTTGGTTTGGTGGTTACAGTCACAGTTTCACATACACTGTAACTAATCTATTGAGATCTTTGTTGTTGTTAAGTGCCTTGGAGTAGAGCACTGACTCATAACAACTCTATGAATAAAAGACCTGCACCTGTTCTATAACTATTTTCATTTCTCTAAGATCATAGAATTTCCAGAGGCATGTTGTGTAAGAAAATCTTTAGTGCCTCTAATCTACCTTCTAATTTGCATGTAGTTGCTGGGTCATAAAAGGTTACCAATGGCTATGCAAGGCAGGACAATTGGTCTCTGTTTACCTGGAACATCAGAGGAAGGAGAGGCAAGAATCAAAGAAGAATATAGGGTGGGCGGCTAATAGCTTCCGTGAATAATTGTTGCCTTTGTTCTGAAGTCAAAATATCTAAATGACATCTGGTTACAATTACTGAACATTTTGATCAAAGATTCCATTTCTGTTGTTGTTGTTGTTAGATGCCATCAAGTCACCTATGACTCATAGCAATTCTAAGAACAATAGATCAAATTTTGCCCTATCCTGTGCCATCCTCATCATATGCAATATGCTTAAGACCTTTATATTGTGGTTTTAATAAAAATTTACAGGGAAGTTGGATTTTCATTCATTTGTTGTTGTAGTTTCCTCCCTAATTGCCCAGTTCTCATTTTTTTAAAAAAAAAAATGCATTGCTGCATAATTCCCTCCTTTCCCCCACTCAGTTCACTTTGCTATGCATCTCTTATTCTATACTGTTGCCATATACATCATATAAGCCGCTTTTATAGTTTCTGTACCATCCATCTTTATGGGAGCCTTCCTCTCTTTCTATGACCTTCCATATTTCCCCGTATTATGTCTTTTAAAAGACTTGTTCCTCCTCACAATGCCCCAAAGTATGTAAGACAAAGTTTCACCATCCTTGCCTCTAAAGAACATTTCTCCAAGATACACTTGCTCTTTTGGCAGTCCATGGGATATTCGGTACCTTTCTCCAATACCACAACTCAAAGGAACTGATTCTGCTTTTGACATTCTTATTCATTGTTCACTTTTCAGGTGCAAAACACCATGGCTTGGGTCAGGTGCACTTTAATCTTTAAATTGGCATCTTTGTTCTTTAGTACCTTGAAGAGGTCCTTGACAGTAGACTTTTCTATTGCAACAGGTCTTTTGATTTCAAGACTGCACTTAATATTGGTATTTATTGTGGATCCAAGTGAAATCAAGCTATTAACAACTTGAGTCTTTTCTCCATCTTGATGTTGCTTATTAGTCTGGTGGTGAGGAGTTTTGTTTCCTTGATGGTGAGGTAGAATACACATTGAAGGCTGCAGTGTTTGATCTTCTGCAACAAGTACTTCATCCCCATCACTGGTATCACTCACGGTTCTGTCATCTGCATAACACAGATTGATGACTCTTCATCTAATCTTAATGCAGATTTCATCTATATATATTTGGGATTACAACTCAGGTTCTTACCAAAGATTTATAGCCTTAGAAACTCTATGGTAGAATTTCACTCTGCACTGTAGGGTCACTGGAAGTAAAAATTGACTCTATGATAGAGGATATGGGGTTTGAATTGTCTTGATATGAATATAGTGACTGAAAGAAAGAACATCTTTACTTGCACACAGCATTACAGTGCTATGTTATGCAAAGGAAGCATTCAGTGATTAAAGATTTTAGTGTAAGTAAAATATAGGTAGTAGGAAATATTGTTGTTGTTGTTGTTAAGTGTCATAGAGTCGCAGGCTACCCTATGAATAGTTCTTAACACTTGGGTGTGTTTCATCCTCTCTCCAGGTTCATAGGGTTTCTGGAGGCAAGCTATTATGGAAGTGGGTGCCACTCCTCCTTCCAAGCTTGTTTTTGTCGGGGAGCTCCACCCCGCTCTCTGTCTGGGTAACCAGCCATTAACGCATTTGACACATCAGTGTCAACAGTGTTCAGCCTCACAGCAACCACAAGTTACCACTTTACAGCAATTTGTACACCAGGGCTATATGACCTAGAGGAATGTCTGAATAAAAACAGTGAGGGCCATGGATTAAAAGTCACCCACTTTTAGCTTGGTAGCATCGCTTTCTGTAGCATTTACTGATACTAAATTGCTGATAGGTAGACCTCACTGATTAGTCAACTGGTGTCTCACAACCTGCACATCTACACATCAATATTCTGCCTTGACTACTCAGCCACTGAGCCTACAAACTGCATCTCCAACTCTCTTGATAGTTGGCTTTCTCACAAGTTTTACCAGTGGTAAGTACTATTTAAGAAAGAAGAAGCAGGGATACAAGCAATCAATACTTTCAGCTTCTAGCTACAGGAGCTAAGGCTGTTGAAGTTGATCCATCAACAAAGGGGGAGAGCAGCTATAGTCTCAAGTAGGTGAGGAGGCAGAAGCACCTCTTATGCAGCTTTAGTCCATTCATTAGTTCATTTCACTAATGTTTCACTTACAATTGGGGCAGCATCTCTAGATAGTTCCAGAATAGAAGCTGCAGAATTAGATTGCTGAACCACAGTCTAGGGAACTTAGCAGCTCTGATAATGATACTTTATGGTCTTTTATTGTCTGTGGGGGTTTTTTCTCTCTCTTTTTTCCCCTCTAACCATTCTAAGGCTCTATAATTTAATTCCTGTATTAAATAGCATATTTTTAAACAAACTAGCACCTTTTCCATTTTAGATCTTGACAATATAGTCCTGTAAATAACATGTGCTTTATTTAAACAAGGAAGCTCTGGATACCTAGTGGCAAGGAGTTAACACTGAGGTAATTAGTTCAAATCCATCAGCTGCTCTGTGGAAGAAATATTAAGAGTCTCCTCCTGTTTGAGTCGGAAACGACTCGACGGCACATAACAACAACAACAACCACCTCCTGTTTGATCCATAGCTTCTAAAAACCCACAGGAGGATCAGTTATGAGGTGGTTCTGACACAATGCAATGAGAATGAGTGAGTCACTTAAACAAGTTAATATTTTCAAAAAAGTAATTGGCATGCTACACTTTAATCTCTGAATATGACATTTTCCGGTCCAAATTTCTGGACAGACTCATTTGCCTTCCTTCCAAGTTTTTTGAAAAGCATCTTTGTTTAAACATGATACACGATGGAGGGATTCACAGTGAAGTTGGCAGTTGGTATCTCTTCTTTAATTCAAATGTGCCGATATCTAAGCATTATAAGAGAGCTGAGATAAAAGTATTTCTTTTAATGCCAGTTAATACTTGACACACAAGGTACAAGTGAATTAAAACAGATAAATGAGAGTATGCAATGAAAACATACTTAAGAAAAAATTATATAATCATAGTAATGATAATGATAAAAGAAATACTATGTCTCAGGCATTCTGCTAAGCAATCATTTAATGCTCATAAAAATTTCTTATGTGCAAATAATATGCTGCAAAAGCTCTTA